AATCAGAGTGGGAAGGTGGAAATTCATTTGATGGGTTAGCCATGAAATAAATTTCAATCTACCAAGTTCAGTTTTCAACCGGTGGCACTAGACTCAAGGTTGAAAAGTTCATGATTCTTTAATATGGCCTCAATCGTTGCAATTTGTATGTACCCAGTAATTATAATATATTTTTTTTCAGCTCATTTCTTCAATAAACAGTGATATTCTGAAGGATTATGTGCCAATTACTATGCTACCAAAAGACTATGAAGGCGGTACAGCCCCATCTTGTAAAGAACTCAATGGTAATAGACTTAAGAATTTTATTTTTTATATTATTTACTTTAGAGTAGGTAAAATATGGAATCTTGATCTGGACGGTGAGCATACTTTGGAACATCATAGAACCATCCAACCTTTCTAAAGTGGTCTCTGAAAATATCATCAGATTATAAATGTGGCGGGTTAGAGTATAAACATTGATGCTTGGTCATATTATCTTCCTGTAAAACCATTGGTCTTCTAAACTAAGGCTCTTTCATGAATTGTAATGTTAACAATATGTTTGTGAATTTTGGTCTTACCTAGGCAAAATTCATTATAAGTTCAAAGCCTAATTTATGTCAAAAGAAGAAAATTCATCAAATTACTTATTGATTTAATTTAATAAAATGTTTCTTAATGACATTTGGCAATTAATCAACAATATATAATTATTTAAATTTATTATTACATCAAAAGTTATTAAACTATAGTCAAATTATTCAATGTTAAAAAGATATATTTTTCACATCCGTTAACACTGCATCAAATAGTTCTAGCTGCAAGCACTTTTCAATAAAATGCAATATACCTAGTCCTGTCATTAATATCGTTACATATATATGCAGATTTCAACAGAAAAATTATTTTTTACAAAATCTTTATTAGAAAATAAAATGTATATCTACAGAAAGGAAAAATATTCAATTTTGTTTATCACCCCACTTCATGTTAACTGAGCGAAAGAAAAATACAAACTAATTGTGATTACTATCCTGACATGTAAAGAAAATAACCTGATAGAGGTAAGGGTTATATAAATAATATCCAAGGATGTAAACAAAGTTCAACTTTTATAACAGTATTTATGGCAGAACTAGATAATTAATATTGTATTTAAACAATTATAGTGCCTTGATTCAGTGTGAGGCTACTCACTATGTTCAACACAAACTATAAAAGAATTTTATAAGTCACTAAAGGAAGAAAAAGGCAAAATATTTTTTTCAGATTTGAAACAATATTCTGGAAATAACAGTCAAAATATATATAATAAATCATTGGAAAGCTTGGAATTTCAGAAAAAATAATATATTATTCATAAAGCCATAGAAGTAAAGGAAAGTGACGAAAACTAGTGGCAAATTGTTGTAATTAATAATGCCTACTTTTATATTATTTAATGGAAAATAAATATTTCCATGCAATGAGAGTGAATTGTGATATTCTATTATAGTTTATGATTTTAAGTTGTATTTATGATGATGACCCGAACCATTTGATTTTTTTATGACTACTTACAATAAGAGACATTTAATTATTTCAGACAAACCAAATAAAAGATACTTTAGAGTAAGTCATTTTGAAAATTAAACATTTAAGCGCTGCCAGGCTATTGAAATGAGGATAAAACCTAGATGATATTAAAGGCAGTTTAATTGAATATTGATAAATAGAGTTTCAGCAAAATCATTAAAGCTGTTTTCAAGAGCATTGCAAAAATATGTAAAATAATTTATATAAAGTGGCACTAGCGGTTAGTTGGTTTCAGAGAAATGAGATTTAGCTAGAACAATTTGATTAAACAAATTGTCCTTCTCCTGAAAACAATATTGTGGGATTGCCATCTATTGTATACTCTGAAGAGGGTTATTTATTTTTTGTTCTCGTTTCATCATATCACAATTTTTGTGTCCTGTTTGCAGGCTTTGTTTTTTTTTTATTAATTATAAATTAATTTGCTGATGTTTTATTTTTTAGATGAATGGATTAAGATACTTGAAAAAGAAAGAAACTGGTTTCTTAAGTACTCAAAATTTGGTACCGACGAAAGAAAACGTCCTGCAGATTCAAAAGGCCCTGACACATTGTTGAATGGTTCTTTCAAATATCTCAGTATTGATTGACATCTAATCAATATTTTTTGTTGTGTATAATTAAATTTGAATTTGATGAGTAGAATATAATTTATATCTTTGTTGACTGTCTTAATTACTATCTTGTGAAGCTTATGAAATAATTTAGACTTATCACATTAGTGAATTTGATAATCATTCATTTAAACCTTTTTTCAATCATGATTTGGGTAATGGAAGTCCATGTACTCTAAACTTTTTAAATTATTCCAACGTCATAGATCCTAATAATTAACGATTTCTAGTCCATTGGGAAATCATTGTGCAAATAATAATAAAATATATATTATGAACTCTTTGAATTAAATTGTATCCTGTACATTTTTTATAATTCATTGTTGTTCAACAGATGTATCAGATAGTAAAAATATTCAAAAAATGTTGATAGTTTAATAAAAAAATATTGTTTTTAGCTTATACAGCTTGGATAATACTTATACAAAGTCATCATTCAGGTTAGTTTTCTGTCTCATGGAATGTAATGATAAATGTAATAATAATCAAATAAATAAGTATGTATATATGTATAGGTGTGTGCATATGCCTCTTTTATTTTCTATTGGCATTACAGACCAAGTATAACTTTTACTACAATAACCAGCCTTCTCTGTCTCTGCCTCTCTTGCACCATTTCTTTCTAATTCAGCATTTCTACTATAATTTTTTTAATTTTTCTTTTGTTCAGTCAGATATTCCTTTTTTCACCCTTAGGAAAATCCCTTCCCTCCATTTAGTGCTAATGATCATGAGGGATGGTTAAATATTTAAAATAAACCACATTAACAGTACTTTAGAGGAAGACATTTTTAACATTAAGCATTAAGCCTTTTAAATTGACATCAACCTGATATTAAACCTGATATTACCTGATATTAAAGACCAGTTAATTATGCATTGATATACCAAGTTTAATCAACATCATTAAAGCCGTTTTCGAGGATAATATAAAAATGTGTAGAATTGATGGTATAAATTGACACATCCAGTGAAACAATTGTAAGGAAAAAGTTGCTGTAACATTACAGGCATGTACCTATCTTAAATATATAATATCAGTTTCGTACAATTTTTTTTATTTTTGAGATAATATGTTCACATACAAGCACAGGACACAGACTATTTTGCACGACTTGATTATTTGGACTCAGGAGAAATCAAAAAGGTTATTTTTGTTGAAAATTTATTCGAAAAATTTCATGATTGCAACACATAATATCTGACTTTTTTTTATTTTATTGAACTTAATAGAGTAGTTACCGTTGCATTCCATTTTTTTTTTCAGATGCGTATTTACCTGTATTCTGTATATTTATATGAACAATATTGATATTATACTTCCTTCACTCCAGTGTTGTTTAAATATTGACTTTTATTGAAATGAGCTATAATCAAGTTTTCAGACATATAACTATGATAAGGAATACAAATTTGGCTTGTGATTTTGTAACGGAATCAATTTCTAGTAATTTAAATTGCTGCAACATTTACACTTCATCCTCCTAAACATTACACCAGACCATGGAAAAAATTTATTTAAAAAAAAATTGTTTAAAATACGAAGTATTTTGTCTTTGTAAAATAAAATTTTAATCAATAAATATTTAAATCGTTTTACAGAAAAAATATTTTTTAATTGAAATTGAAATACTTATTAAATAAAATAATTAAGTGAAACAATTAAAAAGTAATTAGTGAATAAAATTGTATTTTAGAAAAATAAAATACTCTTCACCCAGGTCTGCATTACACTAACACAGAACAATTTAGAAATAAAAGGAGGTTAATCCTCCTGAAAAAATGCCTAGTTCCAGGCAAAATGTGTCCCAGATTATAAGATGTAGGTGGAGTAGAGCTCACTATAGAACTCAATTATAACACCAGTATATCATTTATAGGTTTTGCGTCAAAAACTACCAACCTGATTTATTAAATTTATTTGTAAAATATGTTCTTATAAAATTGAATGTGTCTGAGTAGCCAAATTAGAATTTTTTTTTTTAATAAGTTTGCTAACATTAAACTAATGTTGTATAGTAATTATTTTAAATAAGTACCTATCATTTACTCTATTGATATTTCTTTATTTTTCTTACTGGAGTAATTACCATTATATGTAAAAACAAATAAAAAGTCTTTCCCTTCCAAAATAAAATCTTGAATCTGCTTTTGTTAAAATGAGATGAGTTGATATTAATACTTGTCCTAACTTAAGTTAATGGACATGGAACGGATTCTATATCAAAGAGTAAGACACTGACTCCATAGTCCTAAAAGAGGTTCAGTGAATATGGAAAAGCTTGCTTGGTAATGAGAAGTTCATAATTTGGTTCCCAGGAAGGGTAATTGTAGTTTTAAAAATAAAGTTACATGAATCGGAAAATTGAATGAAAATTTCAAGTAAATATTCACAGTTTGGAGTATTTTTATTTCCTCATCATAATATATGCTCATTGTTTTTATTTGTTCACGAAATGTTTATTTTATCCTTAGAAAACAAATTTTGTATGTGTTGTGTGTGTATTACGAAAACTGAAGGTAGTCCTTTATGATCTGCGTGAATCACGCAATCTAAAGAGGCCGAGGTTGCATTTAGAAAGATAACAATGGAAAATTATTTGTTTGATATTTCTGCGAAGCTTTTATTTCGTGTATGGAAAGCTTAAAGAAAGAGTCATGGAATTTTACTTAATTTCTCTGCATTTCGAAGTACTGCTATAGAAATGAATGTTGTCAATTATAACTTAACAAGTTATAATGCGGTAAATACTCAATTTAATTATGATTTGGTTTTTACATAGTCATTATATCAGGGAACGTATATATATAAAAAAAAATCTACATCTCATTGCATCACAGCTTTTATTTTTCTAACATTAAAATAATATATACATACTATATCTTTTTGTTTCCTTCACTAAGACTATATTTAAAAATCAACATTGATCCAGAACTGTAGTTTGGTCATTTATAATTTGATTCCATGTTTCTCTGCCTCAGCTTCGTACTTCTTTCTGTAGATACCTTCCGGATCGTAGATTTTTTCCAGGACATCGTAGTCTGCTCTCTTGTTCTTGAGAATATACCTGAAGACCTTCTCGGCACCTTTCTTCTGTTTTTCGTTACACTTCTTGCAGCCGGTCTTCAATGCGTCAGGGATAACGTCTAAAAAGCATAAAATGACAATTAGTTCATTATTAGTTATTTTTTAACAATAAGTGATTAAATTTAACGATGCTTTAGAGCTGGTTTAGTGGTATTTTTTGTTCAAACCTAAAGGTATGTGCTGGGAAATTAGGTACTGATTGTGAATTCTAAGACAGCTGAAACATCGGTATTTATAAATAAACATCGTTGTTACGACGTTTCAAACAATTACAAACAATTACAATTACTATTCATTGAAGTTTTTTACTGGTGTATTCGTTACTATCGACCCAGTTATTGACTGAATAACATTCTCTATACTAACCAAATTATAAACATAGATTTTAATAGATAAGTTTTAAGAATTAAAAATTAAAATTTTTTGTTGTAACATGCATGTAACATCATATATTTATATTTTAGTATAATATGTCGTTATGAAATAGGTAATAAATTATAAAATATCTGAACAATCTAATATTTACAATACAAACTACAAAACACGGATTTTAAACAATCTATTGGTATCCACCGCGAATATTTTTACAATATTTATTTTACGTGAACTAATTCATCCTTGCAATACTTATATTGCATGAAATAATTATTTTGCATGAAACACTTATTATTTAACTTGAAATACTTGATGTAAATAGAAATTGATAATTTAGTTCATTAATGTCAAAAATATTTTATTCATAGAATATTTGTTTTAATGAATTAAAATTAAAATAAAACTGTTTATCATGTTTCAAAATATTGCTAACATTCGAATAAATACATTATTTTACTTTTGATACTGAAAGAAAAAAAATGGAATACGCATGTTAGTAGACAGGTGGTTCTTATCTAGTTCATATATATCGATCTAGTCAATGATTGATAATGGCAGAGACATCTTTAAAAAATTGTTAATCGATTCCGTTAGGAACTGAATAAATGTACAGGCAGCGAAAAGTTTGCGTTCTAAAAGTGAATTAAAAGGTGAGTTGATTATTATTTCTATGAAATTCCATATGCATATATATATAATTTTATTTGATCTATAATTATTTTATACTAGAAGATTATAGTTTTGCAACAGTAATATTTTGTATATACTCACATAACTTTTAAACAGAAAAAAATATTACCAAGATAAAATAAAAAATAATTTTATTATTTTGCTTTTAATGCATGTATCTGGTCCACTTAATGGCTGGAATTCAAATTCAATTCACTCAAATATATAAACAGACAAAATTTGTACAGTATTCTGCAATTTCCGAGAATACTGTGCCGATTCTTGCCGATGTCCAAGAAACCATTCAGTTGCCCCAGTGTGCGACTGAATGATAATCCTACCTAGATCTACCAGCCCTAGGAAAGCGCTATTTTTTTCGTTGGATGAGTATTTATTCCGTTACTTATCATATTTTCTGCATTTTCATGTGAAATGTTATGGATCCTCGATGGAGTTGCAATTCGAGCATTTATCATTTTTATTAAATTTTATTAGTGTCAAGTCGCGATTTGTTTAATACTCAATCTTGTAAGTAGATAAGAACTTAATCGGATCATTAAATTAATTGCTGAAGTGTGTGTTAAGGTTTAAATAGGAAAGTAAGACTAATTAAAAAATAGGAGGAAAAATAAATTCCTCTATTCTTATTGTTTAACGGGGTGATCCATATTCAATGCCTCAGGTGGGGAACTTGCGACCACGAAGTAAACTTGGTAGATCTTAGATATGATGAATGGACTTTCTATTTGAGGTGAAGTCGAATTTGTAATCTCTTCCTATTATTCTCCAGGGTATTTAACTCAAGAATTTCCAGTAGAAAAAATTATTTTCAATGAAGGGTTCTTATAGAAATTCTAATTTTGAAAATATTAGACGAAACCATTTTCCTATACATATAATTTTTTTTTTTATATACTGAAATCTCCAATGAGCAACAGGGACAAATTAGTAAGTATAATTTAATTGAAAATATTTATATAATTCAATTTTGTGATTTTCAGAATAACAATTACTTATAATGACAGTATATTATTCTCATGGATTGGTTAAAAGTTCAAACTAATACAGCGTGTTAAATGTAAAATAAACTAATACTAACAGTAGTTACAATTTGAATGATTGAGTTCTGAAATAAAATATTTTTTAAAAATAGTTATATTATACATATGAAATGCCTCTTTAAAAAAAAAAAAAAACTCTTCAATATTTTTTGATACAATACTTCTTTTTGGGGAACACGAAAAGTGTGGCTTATTGCAATTTTTAAGAAAAAACACCGATAAAAATATTTTTAAAATTAGATTTTCTATGAGAATCTTTCATTAAAAATACCTGTTTCTATTTGAAATTTCTGATTTCAGTGCTCTGGAAAAATATTAAAATAGGTTAGGAAGTCGCCAGAAAAAAGTAAACTGATTCACCAAAACGAAAGCCTTCCAAGCTTCATTTATACATTTTAAAAACAAAAAGAATGGGGTTAGCAGATAAAATTGATATGAAACACTCTGCCTGTGAATTAATTCATATATATTTTTTTAAGAATTATTTTTTATAAGTATTTACCTTATTTGCCCTGCCACGTTTTCTAAAAAAAACAGTCCACCTTAAAACGTTTTTATATATTTATAAAAAAAAAATTAAATTATTTCGATTTTGAAATTGGTATACACTATTATAATCAATTTAAATAATTTTGTAGTTGAAATATTAAATTATTTACGCAGCACTCCTCTAAAATATTTTGTGGCATAGCAGGAATTAATCATTAGAATATATTATAATATATAATTATTAGAATATAATATAATATATTAGAATATATAATTAATGATATAATTAGATATAAGAATTAAAGGAGGAGACCAATTACATGATATAAGATATAGAAAAACAAAAACACGATTTATAGAATTTATTTTGTTTCCCATCCGAATTTTTCGTGTGACGTTTCTTCAGATTGCTAACCGATTGCGACCAAACGCGTTTTTGAATTTCCTTAAAATTTGGCACAAATAATTCAAGAAACCAGAAAAAACGACTTTATTTAAACGAATTTTTTTCCTATCTAAGATAGCGATCGTTTATTGGTCGAGTATCATCAAAAACCCGTTTATAGGATCATCAAAATACCAAGTCAGTATCAAATGCGTTGTTCGATTTTCTTGAAATTTGACATGCATATTCCTTGAAGACATGAGATTAAACAATTTTTTTTAATGAAAAACAAATTATAATTTGCTTATTGGGTTCAGAGATTATTCGTGAATATTTTATTGGCATAATGAGCAGATTTTAGATTTTTTTTTCGCTGCCGACTGTTCCTGGAACTAATATACTTTTTTTAAAATTTGAAGTTAAATTTTATACTGAAATATATTTGTTATAAAAAGGCTCCATATTAACTGAAAACTGGCAAATACATAAGTGAACATTAAATATGGATTGAAGTTTGGCATGATTTATTTATCGTTAATAGATTTTATTTACAGAATAAGTTTCATTAAAAAAGTAAGCCTTTTTTTTCTCGACAGTATGAATCTTCGTTGCCTTGCTTTCATGGCTTTTCAATTATTAGAATGTGTCAAATTATGTTTTAATAAACAAAGGTATGATTAGTAAATTAATAGTCAATAACAAAAAAATACTACTTTTTCTGATTTTCTGTTCCAATAATCTCTAAAGTGAAAGGTGAACACGGGATAATGAATTATTATTTGGTATCCAGAATATCAAAAACTGTAGACAGCTCATTAAAGAGTGTACCAAAGTTTTGTTTCGTACCTAAGTTGTAAACTTCTCAGGAAACTTAAAATATAAAATAAGGACTAATTACAATAAAAAAAAGTAATATAATATAGGTGTAATCTTATTTGTTTTCTGTGTAATACACTACCAAAGTCACCTATAAATCTGCACCTTATAATTCTTGATTCATTCATATTTTAACAAGATATTTTTAAAAACTGCAGTTTTTTCAATCCATCACTTTTCGTTACCTCCCTTTCAATATATCTGATACAAATAAAGTTGGCCGATCAGAAAAAATATAAAAGAGATATAATTCGTAAAGATAAAATTAAAGAGAGTATGGAAAGGGAGCATTCTGGATGCTTTTTTGAAAGAATGAAATTTAAGGTAATGAAAAAAAAAAGAACTGTGATTGGCCCTTTCTCGAAGAATAACATATTTATAAAATATATAGAAATACTTTCATTCTTAATAAGTTTAATGTATTTTTATTTTTTTTCATTTAATGAATAATAAAACATTCTGTCACATGAATAATAATTATAATGAAGTTAGAAGTATGTTTAATAAATCCATAAAAGTACTACAGATCATTTCCATATCAGTTGCAGAATACTCAAAGGCATTTGTACATAAATTAATTAATGAAATAAAATATATATATATATATATATATATATATATATATATATATATATATATATATATATATATATATATATATATATATATACATATATATTTTATAAAACATCATGGAAATTGTCCGTCGTAGAAACATAGTGGTATAAAGTTATCTCCCCAACAGCGGTCGGATCTATCCTTGTAGCAATTAGTAGACCTATTATGTTTAACTATTTTAATTATATGTCATTAGCGCCAGTTTTATAATATGTTTTAATCCTTATGTGGTTTCGAGATGATATTCACATTAGATTCTAATTTACATATAATTTATTTAAAAGGAAAAAAACTCAAACTGCTTAGTTTAAAAATGTGTTCATTATTGAGATGAAAACCAAAAAATTCAATCACAAAGCATCCTCACTAGGTTTATGTTAACTCAAAAATAATTAAAAATTTCAGCACAAAATAAATAACTTTCTCCAACAAAAAATGATAAATATATGAGTATGTAATAATAAACGAAATATGTAATCATAATTGTAAAGGAATAATTAGTTATATCAAAATAAACAGATAGATTTTTGAAAACCGACATTGGATTATATTATACATATTGGATTTTATTTTAGATGCTTTAGGA